CCCCCCCCCTTTTTTTATGACAAACAGTATTGTGGCACTCTATTAGTTTTTTTTAATCAAATTTTATACTCAAGATTACAGGCTTATTCATTAATCTAACATAGAGTATCTCTAAGATGTCAGAGCCAGGCTGAGAACTCAAAAATCTTTGCATTAGTTTAAGGTAATGATTTGGACTCTTCAGTTCCTTGGAAGCATTCCCTATTGGAACTCTGCCTACTGGCAGACTATTTATACTGCATTTATAACTTCAAGACATATTTCACTGCAGTATGTAAAATTTTAAATTAAGAATATAAATTATGTGAGTTTAAAACCTAACATTTTTATTGTGACTTTGATATATGGCTACTGAAAATCTAAGACTTAATTCTGCACAATTTGTTACTTTATCTATGATGACTGTGTATTAAGAATCATAGTAAACTATAACTTGGACAAAATTAATAAATAAGTTGTGGTAAAATTTTAAAGGAGTCACATCACACATTCTGCTAATTTTTAGGATAACTTACTTGCAAACAAGAAGCTTTGGAAAGAAAGTGGGCTATTCTTTTTTATCCTCCAGATTACCCTAAACTGAGTTTAGCATAATACTAGAAAACAAAGAATTTTTGATGTATTTTAAAAATTGGTTCTTTATTAAATTAGGACAATGTTAAAATTGTCAATGATAGAAATTCATTTAATGGCTTTGGGGATGATTCATTCTTTTCAGAAAATAATTCAAGAGTTTGGTTGTTCCATGAAAGGCGGTTTTTAATACACTTTCAAAATGGATTGGCCAAATCAGGGTTTAAAAAAATGATATGCAGCTCTTTGCTCTGTCATTCTGCAAATGATGGGATTTTCATTGCTTTCCTGTAAAATTTGATATGAAATCATTAACCATACCTAATATTGTATCAGCAAGGTAGCAACTGTGTAAGTACTAAATAAAAATTTAATTTTTTAAATATTTCTAGATATAGATGAGTGCAGTGGACCAGCTGCCTGTGGTGATCATGCGGTATGTGAAAACGTGGATGGTGGGTATAATTGCTCCTGCAAGGAAGGTTATCAGACATCCACAGGAAAATCTCAGTTCACGCCTAATGATGGCACTTACTGCCAAGGTAAATTATACGATGAAATTTTATGTATTATCGAAGAACTGTATAAAATATAATACTGCACAGTAGTGAAGTATACAAAGAACTGCATCTTCTAAGAAATATTCCAGTATTCCTTTATTGTCTATAAAATGAAATAAGAAAAGCTATTGCTTTATTTAATGGAAGAGGTACACCATATGTTTCACGTAGTTAACATACTTTGTTCTGTAGGGTGACTACAATCTTCCATTTTGCCATAAAATATTGTGTATTTTATTGAGTAAAAATAAAGAATAGATAGAAATAAATAAGGAAAAATAAATGAATGCAATGAAAATAAACACTGTATTTTATTATGAGTAAGATTCTTTAAATAATGAAAAGTAAATAAATGTTAATGAAAAAACAAAAAATGAAAACAGAACTCAAGTGTTAAGAATGTGTTTTTAATATTTAAATAAGGGAGCAAAGTTATTACAATTAATATAGTCATCTTAGGAAAAAAGTATTTTTAAACATTTACTATATACTCTTTTTTCTTCTACAGAAAATGTGAGTGCAGACTGCCATCTAGATAATGCCTGTATTGCTGCAAGTATTGATAAGATGTTAACAAAAGTAAGTAAACTAGTTGTATTAAGAATTTATTATATTTTGACATTTTGGTTCCAGTTAAAATCCTTCCTGCATCACATGTAAAAAAGATTAACAATCAGGGGCACCTGGGTGGCTCAGTCAGTTAAGCATCCAACTCTTGATTTCAGCTCAGGTCATGATCTCACAGTTCGTGAGATCAAATCCCGTATCAGGATCCATGCGGACAGTGTGGAGCCTGCTTGGGGCTCTCTCTGTCCCTCTCTCTCTTTCCCTTCCCTGCACTAGCACTCTCTATCAAATAAATAAACATTAAAAAAAAAGTAACAACCAGTTGATCTTCTTGTATTTACGTATAGAGATTTAAATAATTTGTTTGAGTCATAGAAAGGAGCAATTCGAAAATCCCCAAAGCATTGAAGACTTTTAGATATTTAACATATATTACTTTTTCACTATTAGTATACTGGAAAAAAAATTTTAACATACAAAAAAAGTTGATGAATAAAATAGTAAAAACACACTTTGACCCCAGGCCCATTCCCACATTCTAAGAAGACATAATGAATGCAACTAGGTTTTGTACTTCAAAGGAAATATTTCAAAGAGTAAATAAAGTAGGACATTCACAAAATTATTGTCATGTGATTGAAAGTGTGACTCTCAACATGATTAACAATCAACTAAAAGCAAATTTCCAATATATCACATTGTAAAGAATTTTCTCGGGTTGATTAAAATCTAATTCAAATTAAGTTATAATTTATCAGAACTTTTAAAAGCTAATGTTTAAAGGTTATTAATTCAAGCATGCAGTTTCTTTTCTACAGTAATTTCTGTGCTTTTTATTTGGTCATCCTTTGTAAATAGTTTCAAATTTTAGTGCTGCCTGTGATGGTTTAGGTGTAGTCTGATAACTTACTAATACATAGCACAAGAAAAATAAACTTAGAATAAATTTGCCATTCTTGAAAAGCTCTAGTACTACTCTAATTTGGTTTCTTTTCTCTGGACTCATTTTTGTACAGATTAGACACATAAAAGAACCTGTGGCTCTACTACAAGAAGTCTATAGAAATTCTGTGAAAGATCTTTCACCGATGGATATAATTACATATATAGAAATATTAGCTGAATCATCCCCATTACTGGGTGACATGAATAGCACTAATTCAACCAAGGACACTCCTTCTAATTCAACTCTTACTGTAAGTATATTGAGCTTTAACTCAATATAACTGAGCTTTAAACTTTCCCTTACATCTGTGATTCATGTAAGACTCCAACATTTTTTTAAAAGACACACTATTTTTTTTCTAACAGGAATTTGTAAAAACTGTGAATAATTTTGTTCAAAAGGACACATTTATCGTTTGGGACAAGTTACCTACGAATCGTAGAAGAACTCATCTTACAAAACTGATGCATGCTACTGAACAGGCTACCTTAAGGATAGCTCAGAACTTCCAAAAGACCACTCAGTTCGATACTAATTCAAGTGATATAGGTAAGAAGCCAAGGTCAATTTCAAAACAATGGTGTTTCCCAAACAAGCCATTCTAAAAAGGGAATGTATTTAAAATACTGCTAATTGGGGGGGCCTGGGTGGCTCAGTCAGTTAAGCGGCCGACTTTGGCTCAGGTCATGATCTCGCGGTCCGTGAGTTCGAGCCCCGCGTCGGGCTCTGGGCTGACAGCTCAGAGCCTGGAGCCTGTTTCAGATTCTATGTCTCCCTCTCTCTCTGACCCTCCCCCATTCATGCTCTGTCTCACTCTGTCTCAAAAGTAAATAAACCTTAAAAAAAATTATAAAAAAAAAAAATACTGCTAATTGAATTGGCAGCTGTTTGATCAATGCAGAAGCTAATGGCAATGCACATTGCAAGAGTAATATGAATGAAGTATGAATCAAAAGGATGGGTACCTAACCATTGCCTCCTTCGTACCTTCTGCACCTTATCCTATTCCTGAGCTATTTAGCATTTAAATGCTCAGAGTACAGTACTCCCTTGTCATTTTGAGTTAGTCATCTCAGGACTTCTTAGGGTCTACCTTGACCAAAGACAGTTCTAGACAGATTTTCTGATATGAAACAATCAACATAGCAAACTAGAACGTTTCCTCCTTCATGCAATCTCGTACTTAGAACATTCAGAATCTTGAATCAAATTGAAGATGCCTATAACGTTGTTCTGAGGAAACAAAGTATATTTTCTGATAATCATTGCATTCATCTATATTGTATTGTCTGGGAGACATCTTGCTGTGCAACAGCAGGTAAGCAAAAATCACTCTGTTATATCATGACTTACCACTTACTCAAAATTAAAGTAGCAAGCTTTATGACTAATATATAGGAGCCTTGCATTTCTGTGATGTTCTCGCATAAAAAAGGTGAACTACCCCAGGTAAAGAAATTATCACTCGAGAATTTAACTCAATCACTCTCCATATAGTAAATTATAGATACCGTCCTCTATACCATTGTGGTTGCTTATCTTTGATTTAGTAATTATAGTTTATAGCTCCCTGGTGTACATACATATTTTGTCTTTCATTTAATTCAATAAAGATTAAATTAAACCATGAGTGCTATGGTGAAATTAGAACGTTAAAACTTGAGTTAGATTTTTAGATATAAACTACAAGGTCCAGGCATGTTCAGAATGTGTTCATTCTACCTACCATAAAAAAAGTTGAAATACAATAATGATGGATAACAATGTTCCAAACTAAATGAATACACTGATTAAACTAATTTCAGAGAATTTATGATTTTCATGATTTTGTTTCAGCTCTCAAAGCTTTCTGTTTTGATTCAAATCACATGAAATATATTCATCCCCATATGAATGTGGATGGAGATTATATAAAGATATTTCCAAAGAGAAAAGCTGCATATGATTCATATGGTAAGACTTTGATAGTCTTGTATTCAATGTCAGTGATTTGCAATAAATACTTATCATGCCTTTGATTATATCATATATACCCATGTGATTTCTTATAGAAAATATTTGATGTTTCTATACAGAATTTCTGTATTTGTACTTGAGATTTTCATTCTGATATAAATACGTGGTGAGAATTTTAGCTGCCAGTATCTATATCCATCTTGTGTTATGCCCAATCTCTGAAACTGTCTGATATTGTTGAAATTCTAATGAAATATATAAAGGAACTGTCATTTCATTCCTTGCTTCTCATCAGTCATAGGTGCTATAATTTGCATAGAATTCTTTTAATATTTCTTCTTCAGCAATCCTTCATATTCCTCATTGGGAGACTGAATTTGTGAGTGTGTGAGGAAGACAAATAATGTTCAGAAAGACAGAAAGTTATTGTTTCGGCTTGGATTTCTTTCCCACTTGTCATTTCTTGGTCTTTGTACAGTAAACTTTTCAACTGGCAGGCTTTCTTAGGAAATGGAATCAGAAAATGCCAGTACCAGCAGGTGACTTGATGATTATCTAACTTAATTTCCTCATTTTATGGTTACTAGAGCAAAGGCACAATGAAGTTAATGGATTTGTCTCCATGCACATCAACAAACAATACAGAACCAGTACTAGTAGGGAGGAAGTTAACAAAGAAATCAACCCTGACCAGCTTATCTTTGTCACCTAACCAAAGGCAAGCAAGCAGCTATTTTAACCATTTATCTGCTCTCTTAATGCAACGCACTTAGGAAAAAAAAAAAATCTCTGCCAATAGAAGAATTGTTTTTGTTTTCATATAGGTCAAAATATAGTACCTAGAAAAGACATGAATTATAATAGCTTCTCAAAGAATATGTGGGTGGTCATAAGTATAAATGAAAAGCATATTTAATAACACACATATGGTTTTTTATAGACATCATTTCATAAATGGATGTGTCTTTATTTTTTTAACATTCTGCACATTCATTCTCAGAAGAATATCTTTTAAAAAAATTTGTATGACACTAATATGGGATTTTTTCCTAATCTGTTGATATTATCCTCTTTTTTTTTTCTTGTCATTTTTATACAATAGTAAGACACGGAAGGTCACAAAACAAAGAAAAAATAACTAGGCCATGCTACCATTGAACTCAAGGCTCTTACCCTATTACATCATATTCTAATTCACCAAGCACACATATAATTTTTAGGAGCAAATCCAAAGACTGTGTTAACTGTTGAAATTTCAAAAACAATTTGAGTAATGTTTAAAAGTTGAGAATAAAGCCATTGACAATATTTATTATAGTGACAGATGATGAAATTGTCACGGAATTAATATCTCGAAGAGATCCTATCTGAATGTATGATAGCTTTGTTATATTTGAAGATCACACATGCAAACTCTGACACTTGAAAGAGACCATAATATCAGCTCTCAACAAAGCACGAGGAGAAAATTTGATCTCCTTAAGGGCTGTATCTTAAAAATAAGGGCAAGTCTAACAAACTGATAAAACCTGCTTTATGATGTCTACATGTGATGATTCATTTACCGATAAAAACCCATTAGTAAAACACAGGCTTCAAGTTAAAATCTGCATAGTGTCATTCATAGGAAAATAAGGAAGGTTTATGGAGAAACAGGTAGATTTTTAATCTTTTTTATAGGCTGAATTTTAGTTCCTGTCATTAGTAAATAAACTCCTCATTTACTGAATGAAGGTACATACCTGATAAAGGACTTAAAAGCTAGATCAGGCCGAGATTTAGTGTGAAATCTCTAAGAATTAGAAGAGGTTCAGATGAGGAGAATGGACAGATACTGAAACAGTACTCAGAACAGAGGTAACAAGGGATTTGGAAGCATTCTATGCAGCAAGAATCACATTTTACCCAAAGTCAAAAATTAATGTTAAATATTTTCCTTGAGAAAGGAAAGGAGTGATTAACAGACTTTAAAAACCCATCTTACCTTTTCGGGGCTTCATTTGGTTTTGGACCACCTCCTACTGCAACTTCTGAGAAGTCACTGCAACATGAAAGGGTCATCCACCAGACAGGGTCAAGTTGACCTCAGAGGTTTTCAGATCCTGCTTCAGGCCCTGGTCAGTCTACAGCAAAGGCTGGACTAGTTGATATCACTCGGAGTCCTCATGATGTCACTAGCCCAACCATGTGAGACTACTTCATTTCTTTCTTTCATATAAGTTTTCTTAAGCTGACCGTTCAAGAAAATACTCTTACCTAATACACATAGATTTCAGCAACCTCTTAGCAATGTTTCTTCTCTTGTGATACCTTTTTAGATAAGATAGAAAACATGAATCATGATATATTTTGGCAATGTCTAGCTCACATACCCATAGCAATATCCAAAAATATTATTCATTAATGTGATATTGTGATGTGGAAGGACTCAGGTTTGTATCACGGTTCTTTGTTTTTTGTTTTTTGTGTTTTTTTTAATTAACCTTGTTTCAAAGTCTATTCCCAGGCTTCTTCAGCTTCATTAGCTGCAAAGAGTAAATTGTGTATAAACAAACACTGAAAATAGTTGTGGTATCCAAGGGGCTCAGGCTTAAATATATTAGAGATCTAGATTTTATCAGATCTGTGAACAAAATTTTAAAAAGCAGTCATAATATAAAATAGCTCCCAGGGCACCTGGGTGGCTCAGTCATTTAAGCGTCTGACTTGATTTTGGCTCAGGTCATAATCTCGAGGTCTGTGAGTCTGAGCCCCACATTAGGCTGTGTCAGCACAGAGCCTGCTTGGGATTCTGTCTCCCTCTCTCTCTGCCCCTTCCCAACTTGCTCTCTCCCAAAATAAATAAAAATAAACTTAAAGAAAAAAGATTGAAAAGGCAGCTCCTAATAACTTCTTCAAGTTTTATCTTCTTCAGAAGTTGACTCAGTTCAGTTTGCTTCATTCTTGGAAGCTTCATGAAAGTTCTCCACAAGATCTGGAAATTCTCCTCCTCATCCTCTCCAGTAGCAAATGGTACTTCTCCAGCCACAGACTGTGTGGGCAGAGCTTCAGCCAGTCTTCTTAAACTAGTCAGACTGTCTGCACCAAGTTGGTTTAACACACTGGGTTAGATTTCTGTCAGCTGCTTCATCTCATTGTGGCCTGTGATGGTGAAAGTGTTTGCTGCCAGGGATGCCTGAACTTTAGGCTTGTTAAAGTGGATCACTGTTCCTTGGTTTGTGAACATTTTCACTTCTTCAGTACCAGAGGCATTGTTTACCCCTAACTTCTTTAAGGAGAACTGAAGTGTTTTATCATCTGCTGTTGCCCTTCTGTGAACCACCTTCTTTAAGTAAGCAGTTCCTCTCCCAGTGCACAGATGGACAGTTTGGCAAGTGTCTCCTGGTTCATGATACTTTCTTTCATCTTATTGGAGTGGAAATGGCACAGCATGGGGGTCTAGGGTTGACACTCGGGGGTCTCGGGAAGACCGACTGAGATTAGGTGCACATACATGGAGATCCAAGATGGCAGCTAGAGGGCACAGTTCTTTGGGTTTTTGGGCGATGTAATCAACATTTGTATTTATGGTTTTGATTGATTGATGCCTGTCACATTATTTGCTGGTGTCACAAATTTGAGGGAACAGATACAGAGTTCTTTGTAAGTTGTCCAGTAATCTAAAGCCAAAACATAATGTTCCTAGTTAATAAATATAACAATAATCATATTACTATAGTGTGTTAAATTTTACAGAAGCCTCATGTGTCATTTGATTTGTCTCCACCTTAGCCTAGTAAGTAGCTAGGGTGAGTATTACTATCATCATTTTATAAGTGAGGAAGCTGAAGTTCAAAGCAGTTCATCCATAGCCACACAAGTAGGAGCCATGACTGAAACCAGAACTTTTGATTCCAAGAGTAAATTCAGAATGCAAAGTTCTAAATTTAGTATCCATAATTCTGTGCAACAAATAGAGGAGGTGTATGATCTAAGTGGCAAGAGGAATTTTGAAAAGATAATAGATCTAGATTTTGAGTTGTTCACACACTTAATATCAGTAATAATGAGCTGCTTCAAAAACCAAGACAATGTGAGATCCATTAATATAGGTGCACTGTCTAAGCTAAAGGGAAGATAGTCACATGATAATCTGTACTGATAAGGTTACATTTTTAGTACTGGGTTATATGCGGGTCTCCTATGCATTTGGAGAGTGTCAAAGGGCACAGATAAATGGCTGCCTGGCAAGGCAATAAATTTCCTGCCTTGAGACTGCATAACTGTATGTCATCAATATTAAGTAGGAAACATTTCAGAGGGCATGAGGTGGAACTCAGTGGCATGTGACAACTTGTTTAATTCTAAAGTTCCTGAATACTCTTAAATCAGTGATAACTTTTTTCCACTGTCTAATTCCTATATTTGCATAGCAAAGATAAAAAAAAATTTACCTTTTAAGTGAATGCATCTCACATCTTTGTTCTTAGGAGTTGGATATACATTTATCTAGGACTGTTTTTCTCCTAAATATAGCTTGTGCAAAGGGGATGTTATAGTCCATGATCAGTTTCAGAATCATAGAGGTCAGAGAATATGTCTTAATATGATTTGATTATATAGACATGGACTTACTATGACCAATGTATTGGTGTCTAGGTATTTGTACGACTGCCTTAGAGTAAACATTTGGACTGTTAAATTTTTACGTTTGAGAGCTTAAATATATATATGTATATATTTATAAGAATTTCACTAAATCCACTTATTTGATTGATAGGCAACGTTGCAGTTACATTTTTATATTATAAGAGTATTGGTCCCTTGTTTTCATCATCTGACAACTTCTTATTGGAACCTCAAAGTTATGATAATTCTGAAGAGGAAGAAAGAGTTGTTTCTTCAGTGATTTCAGTCTCTATTAGCTCGAACCCACCCACACTGTATGAACTTGAACAAATAACATTTACATTAAGTCACATAAAGGTAAGCTGTTTTTCTGGTGACTTCTGGTTATGATTGTGAAACATTCGAAGTGAGCGTTTTTGTTGTGTCACTTTAATTATATGTGAATTCTTCAATTTAAAAATTGAAATAAAAGAGTAAAGTAATTTCAACTCATTTTTCTATAAAATAGGTTTTTACTTTCAGTGCTCTCTAAACTTTCTAATAAATATCAAGGAATTTTACACATTTGATTCTCTGAAATTAAGCTATATTTTATTTTTATTTTTAATTACATCATTCACTTTGGAAGTGTCTGTACCTTTTATGAATGAGTTATAAAAAACGTATCAAAGAGATAAATGTCATTTGTGCAATGACAGAGATGTTTGATTAATAATTGCCATTTGAAATAATAATTGCTGCAGGGATTTAGATGCTGATTACAATAAAATCACAGAGACGTTTACAATATTTCATAAAGAAATTAGCTGAGACCACTTTGCTCTTTAATTGTTATTCTAAATCTTTTTGAAGCTCCAAAAATTAAAATTCTACTATAATAAACATTAGAAAGAACTAAATAGTTTTTTTTTTATATACCTAAAAATAAATGAGGAAACTAAAGATTATAGATTACTCACTGCTTTTTTACAGTTGATGGTTTCTTGGACTTTCAATAGAATTTCAGTCCTAGTACCTGAATAAGGTACCTTTAATGCTCCATTTGAAGAGTCTTGAAGCTAGACAGTTGTATTTGCATATAATAAAAGAACATATATGCTTACATACAATACAAATGTGTCACTATAAGTAAAGACATCTAATGTAGAAAGAAACTAAATGTATAGAAAATACAAGAAAATAGTAGCTCAAACCTAAACATTGGTAGGCATTATGTTCAGTGCAAAAGAAGATGTGAAATGTTTTAAGAATGGAAACGAAACTTAGATATTTTCAGATGCTAAATGACCTTTAGACACTAGAAACAAAACATTGTTCTTTCACATAGTCTGATGGTTTTTCTGCAGTTTTTACTAGTAGAATGTTTTGGCAGCTGAAGAGATGACAAGGACAACTCAGTCACCAATCTCTGATACAATGACAAAATAAAACACAACACACATTTAAATAAAAATTCTTCACCAAAACCAATGGGAAAATTGATTGTCCTTAATCTTCCTCTGTGTTCAAATTTTTTATCCATTCAAATTAATGACCACTATGAAATTTTATCACTTTCTTTGGACAACACATTCACTAATTCATGGTTTCCCTCTTTCTTAGAATAAAATTTGGATCCTATCTTTTCCCTAAAAAAAAAAAAAAAGAAGCTATCTCCTATATAACAGCTTCAGTTTCCTGATTCCCTGAGAATTTATTTGCAATTTCACCAATTAGTATACACTTCTCCATTACCTCAAAGGAATATTAAAAGTAGTTGTCATAATAGTATTATGTTATGCTTACTTAATATAAGTATATGGTAAAGAAAACTCTATTTACTAAACAACCATCCTGTAGCCTATGTGATCAGACCCTATCTCTGATCTTGTCTTCAGCTGATCCTTATCTCATTCACTATACCCTAACTACCCTGTCATCTAGATGGTTCTGGAAGATTCCTATTCAGTCTTAACTCAAAGCTTTTTCATTTTCCATTCCAGCTGGAACCCTGTGTTCCCAAGTCTTCGGGGTTTACTCTCTCTAACTTCATTGAGGTATTTGCTTTAACATCATCTCCTAAGACCTCCTCAGACCAACCCCAACTACTTTTTTTTTTCCTTTGTTTGGTTTATTTTTCTTGTTTAATCATTTCTCATCTCATGAGAATATAAAATCAACAACACAAATACTTTTACTGTTTTGTTCAATACTTTATTTCTAGTACTTGGGTCAGTGACTAATATCTAGTATATAACCAATAAACTTTTATTAAATGAAGATTGCATGATAATTATGTGTCATGCACTATTCTAAATGATCTCTTTGGATAATAAGTAATTCTCACAACAACTTTTGTGACACAGGAATTGATAAAATGTAGCACTGTTGCAGTAACTTCAGTCCTTCCACATAACAATGACATTCATTTATTAGCATTGATTTTATACTTTACTTTTAGGCAAGGTGTTAATTATATTGACATACAAAATGGTATATTAAATATGACAAATGTGATACTAGATGTATAATTTTTTCTCTTTTTTCCATCAGTAAAATGTCTCTTTTTCAGACCACAGATAAGTATAGGAGTCAGTGTGCATTTTGGAACTACTCACCTGACACCATGAATGGCAGCTGGTCTTCAGTGGGTTGTGAGCTGACATACTCAAATGAGACCCATACCTCATGCCGCTGTAACCACCTGACACATTTTGCAATTTTGATGTCTTCTGGTCCTTCCATTGTAAGATAATTTTCTGA